CCCTCGGGCCCCGCGAGTCTTATCCTGCGCGCGCCACCGCAGATGGCCGCGGCGAGCACGGTGGCAAAATAGGGGGACCTTTCGGATCGGCGCAGTAAGGCCGAGAGGGCCTGGGTCGTCGCTTCCAGTTGGGCTGCACGGCCGGGCCAAGCTTGAGGAGCTGACGAAACACGTCATGGAGTTGGGACGTTTCTTGTCCTGGGTTTCAGGCCGAGGAAAAGGTGCGCCGCGAGCTGAATTCTTGGGCGTCCAAGATATTCGAGGAATGTCCTCCAGTTCAGGGCTGGCCCAAATGTAGAGCGCGCCTCCTGAAGTCAGCTGCAGCCTGGAGAGAATGGGCAGCCGATTATTTGAAACATGGGGCTCAGCTTACGCGCGGGCACTGAGGGCAGGGCGCAGCAGGAGGTGGTCGACGCCAACCTGCGCGCAGGCGCGGAGGCGAAGCCGCATCAGCTGGCTGACAAGGAGATTCGAGCATGGGGAAAGTGACCCGTGCACGAATCGCCAGAACTTAGGTTGCTTATGGAGGCTGGAAGTTAGGAGCAGCTTCCAGAAATCACGACAGGAGATGCGAAGAAGGCGAGTCTTCAGTTCCCATGGCCCGCTTGCGCAGGCCAGTTCGGACCTGCACCGAGGTGCATGTTCTCCACCTGTGATAGCCACAAGCACGTTGGCCAGGTTGTTCCCCAAACGCGAAGAGCTGTTGATGTGACCGTCTTGTGGGCCACTCACCCAAGTGGTTCTCCCCCTAAACCCAGCAGGGGATGTCGCCCCAACGCCCTCTTCAACATCCCCCATCCAAATCTGGCGGGCGGTGAGACGGCCTGTCGCGGCCAAGTGGGAGGTTGCGCACAGTTTGGAATATTTCTGGGGCGCAGGACCTGGTAGATCTTCCTCGGACAGCGCGTTTTGCTTTACATGTGGATTCGGAGATCGCACACGAGCTAGGAGAGGACAGCATGACGGTTTTCATGGGCACGGTGGAGTGCCATGAGACAGTTTTCCCACAGGCATTGTTAGAGGAGGTCGGCGCCAATGGCTATCCCATGCGCATTGCTTGGATGACGACTCGAATTGACTTGCAGCCCAGGCGCGTTCCCGGCGTTTTGCCGCTCTCCAAGCCGGCGCGCTCGAACCAAGTGGTTTTAGCAGTGTGCTCCGCGGCCACTACCATGTTCAACGTCTTGTGAAGGCGCAGTCTGATGCATACCATGACGCCATACCCGGCTGACACCCCTCGCGCACTCATCGATGATGTCAGCTTTGGGGCGGGGAGGGCGGGCGTCGGGGCGGATTCGGCCCCAGCTGGCATTAGCGGTGCGAATTTTCGGTCAATATGTGAACCCGATTGGCCGTGTGGCGCAGGCAGCTGAGAGCGGGCTCGTCGCCAACACCGTCAGAGGCAGGAACAGACTCAGCAGGATCGCGAAGGCGTCCAGCACCCAGGCCGAGCGCCGCGCGAGAGATCCGGGACGCGAGACGCACGCTTCCAGGGCGCACCGGGCCCAAGAGGAGGTCCGCATCACAGGCCTAAGAGTAAGTAGGAGGAAGAGTCAAGAATAGTCCAAGCATGGTGGGGGGACGACGTTTCGACCATTTCTGACAAGTTTTAAGCATTTGGGGGGTATTTCTAATTGTTCGCCCAAGATCAGCCTGTAGGGGGACATGCCCGACCTAAGGCTAAGTTTTCAAAAGCGCAACGTTTAGGGTTTGAAGCGCTTGGCGGGCGGGGCCGTCGAGGCCCCCTGGAGGGCGGCCCTGCTTCCAGCTGCGGGGCCACGGCATCGGGCGCATCGGGGGGCCACGGACTCGGCAAGGCCAAAGCCCGCAAGGACTTTCGCGGGAGGCGCGTGCGGGGCAGAGCCCGCGACCTGCCTCGCACGTCACCTCGCCACCCAGGAGGGCGACAAGCTCGGCCCCATTCTCGACCCCACCGCGCCGGTCGCGCAGAGGCCTGCGTCCCTCATCTGCGGTGCGAGAGCGCGGCCCCGAGCCGCTCGTCTCGAGCGTGGCGGGCAGTGAAGTCGAAGATTCAGCATCGCGCGTCCTGGACTGAGGTCAGGGGGCCGATTGCCACTGTTTGGGTTTCGTTCTTCCACGTCGGTTGGTCGATGGATTCCCCGGGTGTGCTCGTCGCTGACCAGGTGGGCCGCATCGACTCGATGCAGGCTTGCCCGCGCGATGTGAGACCCAAGCCAGAAGAATAAATTCGGCGCCAGCAAGTTTTTTGGATCTCGGCGCACCACCCGAACTTCGCAGAAGAGGCCCACGCGGCGTGCCGTGCTGGCCATCAAGACCCCAGGCAGACGAAGGGGCCCCGAGGGCCACGTGGGCTGCTGGCGCTTGGACCCCCGCGAGGCCCCATGCCATTCAACTCTGCACCACGCCTCCCTCCCCTTCCTCGCTCCTCCCTCGTCCCTCGTCTTCTCTCCTCCCTCGTTCCTGGTCCTCCTCCTCCTCCCTCCTCCTCCTCCTCCTGCTCCTCCTCCTCCTCCTCCTCCTCTGCAATCAAGATGCCGGCACAGATTTTCATCAGCGGTTTGGCTGCGAAAGGGTCTTCTGCCCGGCGGTGATGACCAGGCGCCAGACGACGCGACAGAGCACAGGTCCGCCATGATCCAGAGGTTTGGTCCGCCTGATGGCAAGGACAGCTCTTACGCGAGCAACGGGCTGCCGCCCTTGCCGCTCCTCCCAGAGCAGCCGAGGGATGGCTATCTTGTCCTAGGGACGGTGGGGGGCCGGCATGGCGAGCGGGGGCGGGGCGGACGACGTTCACGGATGGGTCTGAGCCAGCCGCGTGATTGCTAGGCTTCACCAGGCGCAGTTGGCCCGTGGTCGAGATGGGCCCATCTGGAAGGCTCGCGCGCGTTGTCCACAGGGCGTCGTCTGGCCAGGTCTAGACGGCCCCGCCCTCCGAGCTGTTTGCAGCACCCAAGGCCTTGGGGGTCGCAGCCAAGCCCGCCGACATGATATCGGGTCACCTCACTGCTGCCAACAGCGGGAGGGCCCCGGTCAAAGCACGCCAGCGTAGGGAGGAGAATGCCGACGCTCTACGCCAATCAGGAGCCCCCTGGTTTCGAGTGGGCCCCAGCTCGTTGGCAGTTCGAGGAAACGTTCGGCATAGACGAATGAGATGCTTGTCGTTTTTGGGGGGCAACGAGTGGGCGGATGTGCTCGCCAAGGCCGGGGCCCACCGCCACTCCGCCGTCAAGATCTTGCAGGACGTTCACTCGGCTAGCTCCAAGAGTGCCCAGAACTAGGTCGCCCGGGCTGGATGGATCCCAGGAGCGGGACCCCGAAGGTGCGGGAGCATCCAAGAGCTCTGCCGGCCACTGACCTCACGGAGCATTTGTTTAAATGTTTTGTGAGAAGTTGTCCGAGCACAGGCGCAGGCGTTGCAAGAAGTTTGCTGGGACAGCTGATACGTTCCGCGCGCTCAGATCCAGTCGGCGCGACTGGCCAGACCTCTGACAAAGGTTGGCCGACCGTTTTTGTCCGATGTTTTCCCAAGATTTACTCCCCCCTTAGAGGCCGCGCAGGTTGCCATGCAGGAGACCGCCCGCCAGGGCGGCCGCGTTATCGGCGATGGCGCAGGCGCGCCCGACCCGACGGCGGAGGGCGCCGACTGCGGGTGGGAGGAGACAGGCAGGAGGAGCATGATCTCGAAGCCGAAGCTCACCGTGGGTTCGGCCACGAGGTCGAAAAGTTGATTAAGTTGTGATATGCTTGGTTTGCGGAGTTTACAGCGTGGCTGGAGGCAGAAGCCCCAAGCTCGGCAGGGACTGCAAGGGACACTCTGAGACCCCTAGCACGCGTGCTAACGAAGAGGCCCAGACCTCTCGAGCCAGGCGTGCCCTTCACCCTCGCACAGGTCGCCCCCTTAGGGCATGTGTGAGCGCACGCCACATAAGCTCCTTTGGTTTTCACTGCTGCAGGGGGCGTCGTGGTGTGCTGGAGCTGCGCGTTGCTCTCTGCCCTTTTTCCAGCAATGCAGTTCCTGTTTTCCTCTGCAGAGAGGCGTTTGGTCACCAGACGCCCCTTCATCTCTCGGGACCTCTTCCTCCCGCCCCTTCATCTCTCGGGACCTCCTCCTCCTCCTCCTCCTCCCCCTCCTCCTCCTCCCCCTCCTCCTCCTCCCTCCTCCCTCCTCCCTCCTCCCTCCTCCCTCCTCCTCCTCCTCTCCCTCCTCCCTCATCCCCTCATCCCTCTTCCCTCCTCCCTCCTCCCTCCTCCCTCCTCCCTCCTCCCTCCTCCCTCCTCCTCCATCTCCTCTCCTCCTCCTCCTCCTCCTCCTCTCCTCCTCCTCCTCCTCCTCCTCCTCCTCCTCCTCCTCCTCCTCCTCCCTCCTCCTCCCTCCTCCTCCCTCCTCCTCCCTCCTCCTCCTCCTCCTCCTCCTCCTCCCTCTCCCTCCTCCTCCTCCCTCCTCCCTCCTCCCTCCTCCCTCCTCCCTCCCTCCTCCCTCCTCCCTCCTCCCTCCTCCCTCTCCCTCCTCCCTCCTCCGCCTCTCCTCCCCTCCCTCCCCCTCCTCCCCTCCCTCCTCCCTCCTCCCTCCTCCCTCCTCCCTCTCCCTCCTCCCTCCTCCCTCCTCCTCCTCCCTCCTCCCTCCTCCCTCACTCCTCACTCCTCACTCCTCACTCCTCACTCCTCACTCTCACTCCTCACTCCTCACTCCTCCTCCTCCCTCCTCCTCCTCCTCCTCCTCCTCCTCCTCCTCTCCTCCTCCTCCTCCTCCTCCTCCTCATCCTCCTCCTCCCTCCTCCTCCTCCTCCTCCTCCTCCTCTCCTCCTCCTCCTCCTCCTCCTCCTCCTCCTCCTCCTCCTCCTCCTCCTCCTCCTCCTCCTCCTCCTCCTCCTCCTCCTCCTCCTCTCCTCCTCCTCCTCATCCTCCCCTCCTCATCTCCTCCTCCTCTCCTCCCCTCCTCCCTCCTCCTCTCCCTCCCTCCCTCCCTCCCTCCCTCCCTCCCTCCTCCCTCCTCCCTCCTCCCAGCCCGAACCGCGCAGGCCTCTTGGACGTGCCCCGAGGGCAGCGCTGGGCCGCTCAAGCTGGTCCGAGCCCGCGCCCCCCCGCGAGGGGAGGGGCGCGCGCGCGCGGCGGCGGCAGCGCGGCGTGCTCGCGGCCCGCTCGAGGAAGGGTTGTGCCGGGCACGTCCCTCCTCCATCTCCTCCTCCCTCCTCCTCCTCCTCCTCCTCCTCCTCCTCCCTCCTCCTCCTCCTCCTCCTCCTCCTCCTCCTCCTCCTCCTCCTCCTCCTCCTCCTCCTCCTCCTCCTCCTCCTCCTCCTCCTCCTCCTCCTCCTCCTCCTCCTCCCTCCTCCTCCTCCCCTCCTCCTCCCTCCTCCCTCCTCCCTCCTCCCTCCTCCTCCTCCCTCCTCCCTCCTCCCTCCTCCTCTCCTCCTCCCTCCTCCCTCCTCCTCCTCCCCCTCCCTCCTCCCTCCTCCCTCCTCCCTCCTCCCTCCTCCCTCCTCCTCCTCCTCCTCCCCTCCTCCTCCTCTCCTCCCTCCTCTCCTCCTCCTCCTCCTCCTCCTCCTCCTCCCTCTCCTCCTCTCCTCCTCCTCCTCCTCCTCCTCCTCCTCCTCCTCCTCCTCCTCCTCCTCCTCCTCCTCCTCCTCCTCCCTCCTCCTCTCCCTCCTCCTCCTCCTCCTCCTCCTCCTCCTCCCTCCTCCTCCTCCTCCTCCTCCTCCTCCTCCTCCTCCTCCTCCCTCCTCCTCCTCCTCTCCTCCTCCTCCTCCTCCTCCTCCCTCCTCCTCCTCCTCCTCCTCCCTCCTCCTCCTCCTCCCCCTCCTCCCCCCCCAGACCTCCGACGCATTGAAAATATCGAGACGGAGGTTTCTCTCGATTTTCGGCCTCTAGCAGCCCTCGCCGGGCCCCGGGGCCGTCAAGAAACGACTCGGGATGAAAAGCCGGTCCTGGGGATTGGGTCGAGACTTCCGGGGGCCCCAGATTGAAAAAATCACGACGTCGGATCTTTGGGTCCCTCTACAGGAGGAATACGCAAAAATAGTCCACAGATAGTCTGGGGACGATTTTATGGCACCATTGTTTGTGATTTCGTGCGTATATTTTGCTGGTGTTTTTTATTCTTCGTCCACAATTCACCTGTAGGAGGACACGCCCGACCTAAAGGAAGGGTTTCTGGACGTTCTCTCGCCCGTCCTCGGCGGTCTTCCAGTCTCGGGGCCCGTTCCGGCAGCTGGGGCCGGGGTGCGGCCCGGGGACCTGGGGAGCGGGAGCGCTCCCGGAACGGGGAGGGGGGTCCCGGGACGGGGGGATCCCGAGGGACCAGGGGGGGGGGCTCCCACTTGTGCGAATCCTGCTTCGAGTGGAAATTGTGTAGGTGAGGTAAGGCTAAACCGTATAGTGGTGAGTACTGGTGAGCACGCGCACAGTCGCTGCAACATGCTGCGCAGTCAAGGAAGTGTCGCAGTACGTGGTAAATTGCTAGGCAGTCGCAGATCAGCTTACATCAATCTTACGCCCTGCTTACGTCTTAGCAGAACTTACAGAAGTCGAGCCGTAGTTGCCTTAGAACCGTAGAATTCGCTAGAAATCGGGAGCTGTGCTGCTCTGCCGCCCCTATCAGATTATTCGGAGGGAACCAGGGCTATCTTGGAGGCCCGGTATCTCGATGCCGATCTTAAGGAGTCCCTCAGTTTCTGATGACGCATCGTTGAGACTGTCCTTGCTTTTTGGCTTGTCAGCTTTACAGGCAGGGATACGCTCTGGAATGGTTAGGACCCTCATCATGCTCCGCGTCCGCCCGAGCCGCGTTCCCGTTCCCTCTTCGGCGTCCTCTTCATCGCGGGGCGGCGGTGGAGGGTTCTCGCCCTCCTCTGCCTCTGGGGGCGGTCTCTGGGCCCCCGGGCCATCTCGACCCGATCTGGGTCAAAGAGTTGGCCACGAGAGGCCCAGGGAGGTCCCGGGGCCCACTGGGACCGAAATGTGGTCGGTGGGAGCGGACGCCGTCTGCACGCTTGCTGTTGTGCCGCGCGCCCTCGTTTCTCTCTCTCTCTCTCGCTCTCTTTTTCTCTCTCTCTCTCTCTCTCACTCTCTCTCTTTCTCTCTCTTTCTCTCTCTCTCTCTCACTCTCTCTCTCTCTCTCTCTCTCTCTCCACATATATATATATATATATATATATGTTATACATCCCTCCTCTCCTTCTCCTCTCTCTCTCTCTCTCTCTTTCTTTCTTTCTCTCTCTCTCTCTCTATTTCTCCCTGTCTCTGTCCTCACTGCCCAGGGCGCCCTCGCGATTGTACGAGGACCGCGAGAGGCACCGCGATCCTCGCTGCCGAGAGCGTGCCGTTGCTTTCCGTTCTCAGTCGGTGCGAGTGTGTGTTTTGCGTTTGCGTCCGTGTGTTGGGTGCGCAATGTGCGCGTGTGCGTGTTCCGCGGGCGGTTACACACAGTTTGGACATGTGGCCGTGCATGAATCCGCATGCCAAAGCTTTCAAAGTGCGCCGAGACGTGTCACAGGTGGTGCGCTTCATCTACCGCGAGGGTCCCATCACTGCGGTCTGTCGTTGGGGGGGCATCGGGAGGCTTGCTGCAGCATCGCCGAGAGACCATGGTAATTGATGCATGGGGTGTCTTAGGATAGGCCTGGAGAGACACATCAGAGCCTTGAGCTCAGTCTGGCAGGACCAAGCGAGCACCCTAATTGCTTTAAGGTTACTCGCCACCGCTCAGCGGACTTAGCAAGAGTGAGGGATTGGAGCGGATTCCCGACAGTGTCGTTTGCACATCGCGTTGAGAGCATTGGCTTGCAGTTCCTTGAGTGCTATTCCATACGCAGCCCTCGAGTACTGTGTTGAACATGCTCTGGGGTTGAGCACACTACGATGCGTAATCTTCATGGTCGCGGATGTGTTTGGCATCGAGGGCAATAGGAAACGCAGAAATCTTTGAAATCTCATTAAGCGCACCCAGGGTTTGGATGGTATGTATTTGCTTCTGGTCAACCTTTTGGATTTGTTGCACGGAGCTCCTCTTCCACACCTCCACTATCTCTCTTCTGGAGCTCTCGCGATGGATCCCAGGGGGGTCCTAGCGTGCTGGATTCAGCTGCGGGGCTCCCGAAGCCCAAACCTTCAAGTTGAATACCGAAGTCCTTCCTCGCAACGTTATTAGAACAACGTCGGGAAGAGTTACCTTCTGGCGGCACCTTTGCCGTCTTCTTCCGTTGTTTCCTTGACGACTTGGCCTACCCAGGAAAGTTTTCGCACAATATTCAAGGCCGGCGCCAGTCCTCTGGACCGCTCTTCAGAATCGGTAACTTGTCCGTTGGGCGTTGGCTATTTGAGCTCAGGTTGATGTTTTCAGTGGCTCGTTTTATCTTGGGTCGCGAAACCGAGCCAGCCCAAAGCCCAGGGACGCAGTTTGTGGCTCGGGCAGCTCTTCTGACCTTGTTCGCTTTTGCGCACGCGGGATGGGCTGACTGAGCCCAGCGTTGGAGCGCTGAGGGTGCAAAGGAGGCAGATGTCGCCGCAGCGGAGGTGATGAAGGGCTATCCAGGGCAGGGCCGGCGCGATGATCCAGAAACTCGGCTTTCTGTTTTAACAAAATGTCACACACACATGCACTGACAGCTTGCTGCTCGCACCGATGCTGAGCTCCGCGTCGGACGGTGGTGCGCAAATCTCTCAGCGGCAGCACGCAAAAAGCCGTGCGGAGAAACGGGCCGCCGACCGGCTGCGCCGACCGGAACGCATCGGGAACTGGTGAAGCGCGAGGGTACGACCGTGTTGAGGTGGATGCTCTCCAGGGGTATGCAACTGTGTATCAGCCACGCGCAGAGGGGGGTGGGGGGAGGGGGGAGGGCTTCTTAGAAGCACCCCTGCTTCCTAGAAGGCGCGGGCCTTATCTATAGACTATAGATGTAGGGCTGGCGCCTTCTAAGAAGCAGCCTCCTTCTCAGAAGCCCTCCCCCTCCCTCCACCCCCTTGTGCGTGCCGCCAAGTGCAGGTAACTCGTCATAGCCTGGGAGGGGCTCTCGAGCCGACGTTCGTTCGCGCGAGCTCCCTGGCCCGCGCCCAGGCCACCACGACATCGCTTGATTCACCGCCGGATCGCCTACGATACCCCATGCGAAGAATTGCTCTTGCAAAACAGATTTGCTCGAACGAATCAGATCATGATAGTATGTATCAAGAGCATGTACCGTTCCCCGACTACTTGGCTGAGACAGTTCTCCCCTCCGACGTGCGGCTACTGCAACCTTTGTTACCCAAGTAGACGAACTGGTTCTCAAAACGTTCACTGACATCGAGCTGGTGTACACTCCACCACCTCATACGGCCGTTCAAAAAATCCCGTCAGTCAAGGAATCGACGCTTCTGGACATATGTCAGGCCGTTTCGCCTACTGATCTAAGGCACCGGTTCATTTACCCAGTTGGCCCAGTTGAGATTGAAGCGGTCGGGGGTAAGGAGGCGCGCATGCAATTCACGATGAGTTGTGAGTATGCTGGGGCGCTGGGGCTGGCCATTCGATGATCGCGACTGGGCTCTGTGTCGTTGTTATGATATACTGGTAATTGCGTCCTTGCGTCCCGACTGGCGATCCGCATTGCAGGCCAGAGGTTGGCTAGGATTTGACAAGGCCCTGGCTCGAAAAGGCTACAAACACCTGGTTCGGCTCAAACATCCCCAACTTGCAGTCGCAGACAGGACGATCGAAAGAATCGCGGAGTGCAAGTGGCAGAGACGAAGTATGACTTGAAGGCCGCTAAAAAGATCAGCAAGAGGGAACGCAGTCCGTGACAAGGCAAATGCGAATCTTGCCACCAGGCATTGGGTTCCACGTCGACTGGCTCCCTCCCTCCTTTCCCCCTCCTTCCCCAGCGTGCACGCCATCTTGGCCATGTTAAGCCACGCCATGAGCAGACCGTACGTACACACACACACACACACACACACATACGCACACACGCCCCCTCCGACTTTGAGGTGCTTGCACAGGGCTTCTGCACAAGCACTGGCTACATGCCCCTGGCCCAGACAGTTCGCAAATTGTGCTGGCGTGTCGGTATACCCAGCCTTGCGAATACCGTGCTGGGTCGATGTTGTCGGACGAGTCGTCGGAGAGCGTGAGTGCAGAAGAACGCGGCGACACCAGGCACACTTATTAGCGAGGTTGTCTAACAAGTGAGGTAGTATCTGCCGTGTCAGTCTCGAACCAAGTGGTAAAGAATCGTGCATTGTGCTGATATATATAGTCCTTACATATACACACATACATATATATAATATTCATTTCCCTAATCAAATGATAAGAGAATCCCCCCCAGATGGGCGTCACCTAATTCGCCCCCTCCGATAATCTCCGGACGGCCTCCAGACAGCTCCGAGAATGCCCGAAATTACGGCCAAGCCGGTCCGACCGGCCCCAGAGGGCTTCCGAGACGCCCAAAGATCGCTTCAAGATGCCCCAGTTGGTCCCAAGACGGCCCAAGAGGCCTCCAAGACGCCCCAATAGGCCTCCAAGAGGCATCCCCAGAAAGCCCCCGGAGGCAGCCATCATTGATTTGTCAATGATTTTTGAAGGTTTCTCAGGTTCTCGCGTGTGCCTTTCCCGACGCTCCAAGACGGCCACATGGGACCTCCAAGATCGCCACCAGGCGTCCCAAAAAGCTCCCAAAACGGCCCAAGAAGGCCCAAAACGGTCCAAAAGGCTTCCAAAACGGCCCAAGACACCCTCAAGACGGCTCCAAGACATGCTCCGAAGGGGGATCTGACCCGACGTTTCGACCCCTCAGCCCCAAGAGGTCCCCAGGAGCTTGAAGAGGCCCCCAGGAAGCCCCCAAAAGGCCCCAAGAGGCCCCCAAGAGGCCCCGAATAGCCCCCCATGGGGCCCCAAAGCGGCGCCTAACAGGCTTACAATTCATTCAAATCCATGGATTCGCGGGAATTCTTCGCGCTGCCGCTCTTTGCCGACGGACGCACAGAACAAGTACACGCAGCCCTTGAGTTCACCCCGCACGCGGCGTTGGGTCCAGCAGAGCGCTCAGTGCCATAGAAAATATGTAGGCTTCGGTTCTATGGTGGTCTCTTGTGCTGCCTGAATTGAACATGTGGGCTTGGACGCCATCTCCTGGTCGAGCACACGGCGCCGTATCCAGCATAATGTACAAGAACGTCGGCACCCACATGGATGATTTCTTCGTGATGTTCGCTTTGATTGTGTCCCTTACTTTGCCTCGATTGTGCAATATCGGAGACCACCTTGCGTCTCCATGGAGGCCCCACGAGGCACCCGACAGGGCTCTCAACGCCAAGGCCCCCGCAAACCCCATGACGTCAGGAGCTCTGAACGCCAAGGCTCCCAGTACCAGCGACGACGCACACACCTCTGACGTTCCAAGCTTTCGCTGATGTTCCATAGGCGTTGGTTCCAGGGTTCCGCTGATGTCCTGCCTCGCCATGCGCCGACTGGGATCACGGCGGACGACTTCCACCGGGTGGCTCTGCGCCCGTGGACATGCGAATCCTTTACAAAACCCACACCCACGACGGCCCTTCGACGCCGGCCTACCTGCAGAACGCCGGACGCCCCCAACTCCAGGCCCCGGGAAAAAACAGCAGTCGACGTGAACCAAAAATTGCTTCGGCCCGTTGGGTGGATCTTCGCTTCCGGACACGCTCACCCCTCATGAAAACCCACGCCCGGGTTGGCCCCACGACCGCCAGCACGGCCACAAGCACAACCACCAGCGCGACCACCAGCACGACCGCCCACCAGCACCATCCCCAGCGCGACCGCCACCACGACGAGCAGCGCAGCCAACCGCACACCCGCCAGCACGATGTCCAACATGAACACTGGCACGACCACGAGCACGACCGCCGACGCAATTGTCCTCCGCGATCGGCCCTGCAACAACAGCATCCCGATTTTCCAGGAGCCGTCGAACTCGCGACACACACCATATCTACACCCCTATATCCATGAAATTCACAAGCGCACTACACCCTGTCGTCCACGTAGCGCGGCGGGATGCCAGATCTGCGCGCCTGCGCCAAGGACGAGGATGGAGGACAAGATGTCTTGGCGAAGCGAGCCAACAGTATCGTGTGTATATATGTATGCATATATGTAAAGATACCTCACTCAGAGCACAATTCGCATAGCACCTTGAAGCATCCGCGAGCGCCTAGGAACTTGCTCGTCTCACTGCACTTGGTCAAGCTTTGTTTTATGGTCGCGGGTTGCGCGCCAAGGCATGGCGGTCGTGGCGCCACGAGGCTCAGCACCGATCTTGCCGGTCGCTTTTCGCCTGCCCCAACCTTTCCCGCTCGTCGCCCCCCCCGCCCTCACCCTTCACTTCTACCCCGCGAGAGCTTTATATGATTTGAGAGCCAGTAGCGTCGGCTCGGCGCCCATTGGTCGTCAGGGAGGCTTGCCTGGGTCTTCACGAAAGCAATCTTCTGAAATGTCTGGGCGTTAGGGTCAGCGTGTAGCCACAGATGGCCACAGGATCGGCAGCAGCATCGGCGCCGGTATATCCGCGGTCGAACACCGGCATAATATTGCACGGTTCCATTGATTCTTTTTTAATAGGATTTCATATTGGATTCCATCGGCGAATCGAGCTCAATGGTCGTTTTAATCGGGCATCATAACCTTGAACCTTTCCCACGAAGATTTCCTAGAAGGTGCCTCCTAGAGTGGGAACGTCAGATAAGAAACCAGCCTGCCATTAGGTGCCACACGGGCACTCCTTATCACCCGAAGGCACCAGCCACCCACACAAAGAAATCTTGGAGCGCTTCAGCAAGAAAAAACGGACGTCTAATTTGCCCCATGATTTCTCATAGCAATTATCTAAGCGGCCGACCCCAGTGGAATAGACGTCCTGGGCATTAGGTAGGCTATGTTGGAGCTGGAGTGGCTGGGTGTTTGTTTCACACCCGCGAGGGTGTAGGAGGAGGACGAGGAGGAGAAGGAGGAGGAAGAAGAAGAGGAGGAGGAGGAGGAAGAGCGGAGGATGAAAGGAGAGGGGTGGATGGAGGAAGGCAGGACTTGAGCAGCGCAAGGGTTTCGCATGCACCCGCTGCAACCGCCCCCCCCCTCGCCGCAGCCACTTCGGGAGGTGCCCGGAGTCCTCCTGCCACCGTGCGGCCTGAGTGCGGGGTTGTCGACGCTCTTCGGGCTCGCGCACGGCGCGCAGGTGGCGGCGTCCGCGTGCGCGGCCGCCGCCGAGGAGGACGGCCCCCCGCCCGAAGAGGAGAGGCGACAGGGGGACGGGCAGCAGAGACGTTCACGGTTTGGATCATGATCCCATCACCACCACCACTCATCAACATCATCATCACCACCACCATCTTCATCATCATCAGCATCATCAGAAGCATCTGCATCATCATCGTCATCATCGTCGTCATCATCGTCATCATCTCCACTGTCTTGATCGCCATCATTACATCAGCGCTCCGAAAAAATATTCCGATTTGAGAGGCACGGCGCCGCGCGAGTGCAGCGCAAACGCTATGCTGGAAGGGCGCGGCAATGCATGCCCAGTGGACAGGCGAGAGCAGCCGCGCCCCCGCGCGAACCCCGATCCCGCGCGAGGCGCGCTCCCGTTGACAATGGCTCACCCGGGAAACCGTTTCTTGCGCAGGAAGTCCTGAGCGGTCTGCCCATCGGCGGCTCCTTATGAGGAGGCCCAGAACCATTGAGAAATTGTGTTTGATAGGTTTGCCCATGTTCGGTTTCTTCGGAGTGGGCCCGAAGACCTCGAGAACGATGTTTTTGCAAGAAGTCCGAGGCGGTTTGCACATTTTCGGGTCGTTCAACCGGACCCGAATTTTTTGTTGGGCACAAGTCCTATGGGATTTGGCCACTTACAAGTCGGCCGGTAAATTTTCCGGGTCATCTCATGACCGAACCCGAAAATTTTCTTCGAGGAAGTCCTGTGCCGTTTGCTCCTTTTCGTGTCAGCACACCGCTTCCTCGAGAACGACGTTTTTGCAAGGAGTCCTGGGCGGTTTGCGCATTTTCGGGTCGTTCGAACTGGACCCGATTTTTTTGGCGGGCACAAGTCCTATGGGATATGGCCACTTACAGGTCGGCCGGTAAACCTTCCGGGTCATCTCATGACCGAACCCGAAAATTTTCTTCGAGGAAGTCCAATGCCGTTTGCTCTTTTTTCGGGTCAGTACACCGCTTGGGATCAAGAATTTTTAAATTGGGAAGGGGAACCCGATCCCGCGACCCCGGGCGGGGGTTATGCTCTGCCCTTGCATTGTACTGGGCCTTTCCGGCCAAACGGGGCGCTGGGCTGCCCATCGGCGCGCCGACTCTGCCCTCGCGACATCGCCCCCATCCGCCCTCGGGCACCGCGAGTCTCACCTTGCGTCGGGGAGGGACAGAACACCCCCAACAGTGACACGTCGATTCGTGAATTGTCCGTGTTCGGTTCTCGAGAGGGCGCCGCGGCTGTTATTTTCCAGGCTTGCGCCCGCCAGGTTTGGGCCTTACGTCGTTTTCACTAAAGCACGTTTTACTAAAGAGAGGTCTGTCCATCCCCGACTGCGCGCGCCACCCCAGATGGCCGCGGCGAGCACGGTGGCAAAATTGGGGAAGCTTTCGGATCGGCGCAGTATCATCATCAACAACATCAGCATCAACATCATCAGCGTTTTCCGCACCATCATCATCGTTCGCCTCATCATCATCATCATCATCATCATCGCCATCGTCACCATCATAATCATCACCATGGTCCTCATCGTCCGGATCATCATCTTCAGCACCATCGTCATCATCACCATCATCGTCATCATGTTCATCATTTTGTTCGTGGTCCGCTGGCGATTTGGCTCGGGACTGCCAGCGGGGCACAGGTGTTAACCCCGTTGGCGAGTTGGCCCCACCGCAGTGCCGCCGAAGCAGAGATTGATGTGCGGGAACCGCACGTTGTATCGCAGGGACTAGATCATCTCAAGATTGACAAGTATTCCGACTCGCGGCGACTCTCAGTTTGTTCATCAAGTCTTCGTTTGTTTCATTTGGATGTTATACCATTCCGTTGTCTTATTTTGGTGGGAATAGTCACCGAATCCAGCTGCAGGCTGCACCTTCTCCTCCGTGCTGCAGTTGTGGCGTGGCCGTTCTGGGAGGCGCGATTGGGTTGTCTCTGATTGTGTCAATACTATGCGTTTTCGCCCATATCCGTTCATGCCCATCCATACTTCTTTTTCTGTTTATGAGTTTGTACCATGCCGACTGCGGTCAAGTGGCCTCGCCTCGGATCGGCAGCGGGCCCAAGAGGTCAAAAACCCGTTCGCGCTCACCTGGGTCATCCTGGCACCAGCTATATTGATGTGATTGCTTCTTGGATTCGCGTGCGTGTGTCGCAGAAAGACGTTGCCGGCTCGTGCGAAACTACGCCCCTTATCTTACGTCCCATTGTACCTGGTCATTTCGTGAATTCTATCCTTGCGGAGAGTTTGGTCTTTGCCCAGTTGCGAGTTGCCATGCTCTTTCAGCAGGCCCCAAAGTGGGCGCGCCGAGCTCTTTTGGCGACCCCTAGCGAGATAGTGTTTCATATCGTGAATGGCGCTGTTGAGTGGCTCGAGTTCCAGCAGAAACATTTACGCCAGTCGGTGGCATTGGCGCCACTGTCTGGTCTCTCTTTGTCCAAAGCAACACGCAGATTGGCAAAGCGGATACGCTTCGAGCTCGCAGCTGTCCTAATATGATTGAGAGGCGCGTGGAGAATTACAAAGCGTTGTTTGGCTGTCATGCGCACCGTGATTCAGACTTGCCTCGATTTATATTTCTTCGCAATTCAGTTGGCAGTGTTGGTTTTCTTCCAGTTGTTTGGCGTCTTGCGGCGTTAAAGGCGCTTACCATTGAGCGGGCGCTGATCCACATGGCACGCCTTGTTGCAACGGCGCTGACTTCAGACTGCTCCAGAATATCCAGCGGCGCGCGTTCCAACTCAGACCTGAACGCGCTGAACCTCGCGTCCTTCCCTTTCCCCGCTTTCGCGTTTGATCTAGAGACTCTGCATGGGTGGCAACGGTTTTTCGTTATGCCATGTGTAAGAAGACCGCGAAGAAGTCTCCAGGCCCCCCCGAGGTGCGAGGCAATTTCAAGAAGCGATGCTTGTTTCACGTACGTTGTATGGTCGTGTCCATTGGTGTATTCGGCCTTCTCAATACTCTTGACAGTAGCCCTCTCTATCTGAATACGCGACTTGCTTATTGTGCGTCTAGGAATGTTGACAGTACGTCTCCAGATGCTTGGTTCATGCGGCAATGTGCAGAGCGTTGTTTAGACATGGCGGATAAAAATGCGATTCGAGTGCTCGTCTGGATCGCCCACCTGCGTCGGCATCGCCTGCGTTTGCACTTCGCACGTCGATTCGCCGATTGCGCGCGATACGTCGTCCGCCCGTGGAAGCTGCCAGCGGGGCCCTCGGATTCCACAGGTCCAACGCCTACTTCAACGTTTGTGAGACAGCGGTCCTGGAGGCATCGGCTTCCCTCGGGCTCGGCGTCGCATCCGCCGCGCCCTCTACACACGGGGTTCGCGATTTACCTGCCCATCCCTTCAACAGCCGCGGGCCGTTCTGGAAGGTCAGCTTCGCGAGGTTATTCGGAGGCGCGGTGCTCTGAAGTGGGATGATGGGGATTCGACTATGGTTTAGCTGGTTCAACGCTGTGCTATTGGCCCATATCTTGTTCACAGAATGCTGGTTGGTGACAGCTCGTGGCGGTTCCGTCTTAGTCCTCGAAGCTCGCACGCAACTTGGCCCATTTGAGTTTCTCTCGCATCGACGCGGGCGTCAACGCGCCATCCAGCCTCCTTCGCTATTCCCACTCGTGAAGCCGAAGAGTCTCTCTGACAGTGGCATCTGGAAGTGAAGACGACTCGTTCACTCGTGCATGCGGGAGGTCATTGAGATTTCTCCCATTCCCATTACGCGCCCATGGAAAGTTGTCGGACGCGCCGCGCGCGGTGTTCCTCAGATTGCAGGCGCTGGGCATGACATCCTTAATATCAGTGATGCTTGTCGCGCTGCGCGGCGTGAGTGGAAGGAGATGGCAGCCCCTTCCCCTCGCGGCCGTCGTCTGCGTTGCGGCCGACCGCTGCACGGCCGCCCCCAACGCGCAATTGTCGACGTGGACCGGGCCCTCCAGATTGGCCTGAGCCCGAGGCAGGACCCGCTCACGGGCCCGACGTGCCGTTTTGCGGTTGCGGGGGACTTTGTCTTTGAGCTAGCGGGGCTTCGCATTGGCAGGTACACTAGCATGGCCGCCGTTTCGACTCGGTCTGTCCATGAAGAGCGTCTGATGGTCAAGGGTGATCACAGACTGGAGGCCCGAGTTCTCCCATCTGGCATCCGCCGGGTAGGACTTTGAAGTGGTGCCGTTACGTTGACGGCGCTTTTGTCCTCTGGCCCGCGCCATTTCCCTGGGCGCGTGAAATCTCTCGTCGAGAGTGCGTTTACGGAACCAGTACAGGTTGCGTTCCAGTCTTCGGGGGGCCCGACTACGCACGATTCTGGTTACCTCTGTCCAGGCGGCGAAGTCTTCGAGCGGGCCCTCTTGGAATTCCGCCTGCATCCCCGGCCGATGAGTTGAACAGGTAAGAACCAGTAGCGTCTTCGGTTGCATGGGGCCCCAGAGCTTCATCATGGCGCGCAGATCCCTCGGCTCGGCCGCCCACCCCATTCGTCGTCGAGGCTTCGTTCGCCTCTGTCGAGCAAGCAGGCCTCGCGTCGGGCTGCACGTTCGACGAGGGCAATGGATATGTGCTAATGCGCGCAGGAGCTCCTCAAACTTAGCTACCCGAAATTTTTCGTCGCATAGTTCACACATTCTCTTCCGCCGTCGCCGTCTGTGCTCAGTGCTCGTAGGTTGCGGCTGCCACGGGTTCGCAGTGCATCTCGAACTCAGCGCCGACTCTTCTGCGCCATTTGATGCGGCGGTGGCGGCGAAGGTTCTCAACCTCATGGCCGCAGAAATCGCGACCGGGGCCTCGGCCGCGCGGGGGCTCCGACGACCGCGGCGATCGCGGCTGGCGCGACGACCGCCGTCGGGAAGGGGGCCGCGATCGCGACTGCGACTACTCTCGCCATCGCGGCGATTCGGATTCAGAAGAAGTTCGCCGCGCGGGGCGCACCACGGTCAGAAAGAGGCCTCGGTTCAATCGCTTCCAGGAGCTGCGGCAGAGAAAAGGCCGGGACATGGAGAT